GGCCAGATCCACCACCACGCTGGGGGCTGGTCTAGGAAGTGGTTTCCGTTGCCATGAAAATAAATAGAAACATGAAGTTTAAGGCTTCCCTGTTAAAATACCAAGGCACATTTATTTTTGTGGAAATCACTCTTTGCCAGTTCATACTTTACTACTCAGGGAAGACACACTCTGTCTAGGCAGGAGAAGTTTCCCACTGCTACTCTTTGTTCTTTGGATCCTTCTTCATTTAAGGACCGAAAAATATGTCTTTCCTCAGCTGCCAGTTAGGCACTAAAATAAAATAAATTAAATAAAATAAAATTACTCCCCTTAGCACACTCAGCTTTGCTCTACCTACAGCTAATTGGACGTGCCAGATCTGGGTTTGGTTCAGCTCAAGCACGGCCACATCAAAGCTCTGCACCTCCGCATGGAAAGGGCCCGTCTTACGTAGAGGTAACTGGGAAAGGTGCTGATGGTGCATGTTACATCAGCCTCAATGCCAATATATTCCTGTCACCAGGGGAACACCAGCCTTGGGAACGGCTCCCTCTGCACTACTAACAGGAGCCAAGGGCAGCCAAGAGCACTGGGACAGCTGAAGCCTCAAATGTGAACCAGTTTGGGCCCCAAACACGAGACCTGCACCTTCAAGCCATGGCGCTGATGAAGCCGTTTTCCCTTCCACAGACACACCACCTGCACACCAAGAGTTCAGGTTCCCTGCCGAGCTAGGAAAGGTACAAGGTTATGCTAGGAAAGGTACAAGGTTATGCTAGGAAAGGTACAAGGTTATGCTCTCGGTGGATCCTTCAGGATTCCTGACTGCTCCTTATCCCCAGCCCTGAGGCTGAATCCAGCCCTGCCTCCCCAGCTCTCTGGGGCCCAGGGCACTGCCCCTGCCATCTGCAGAGTCACAAGGCAGAGCCTTCATGTTTTTGGGAGTGCACGCAAAGATGAGAAGTTCTGACAAGGGAAGTACCAAATTCAGCCTTTTCCGCCCCAGAAGATGGAAGTGATTGCGTAACCTCCCCCTCTCCTCCTAAAGGAAGCAAGAATATTTAAGTATATCTAAGATTTTTTTGGCTTCCCCTTTTTTCATGATTATTGTTTGCCCGTGCACACAGAGTTTGCCTGCAAAGGTCAGTGATTGCTCCCAAAAGAGGGGAAAACAGGAAAACAACCATGCAACGATTAATTCCAATTTGGGGGGGAGAGGAGGAGGAAAGGGGTGCAGGATCTGAATGGTTCAGGAGCTGCTTCCCCAGCACTGGGGCAGCAGCAGAGCCATGTGGGATCAGACATGGGCGTCAGACCAGAGCTCCAGCCCAGATCTGCCAGTGAGCACCTTCCCTGTGATGTGCAAATTGTTTCAACCAGTTTCTCTACAGGGTGGAGAAATAAATCTCTATTCCTTTTATTCCAGAGCTGTGAGATCATATTAATATTAAAAAGGGGCATGCCCGGCTCTAGAATGAGAGCTTAAGACACTTTTCCTTAAAGATCTGATGCATAAATAAAAAAGATAATTATGGTGGCAGCAAGTAAAGCAGTTATGGAGCTCTAGAGCACCAATTCCTATTACTGTACTAAAGGATTTAACTGGGACAGAATGGGAACAAATCACTGAAATCCTCACAAGGTGCACTGTCAGCTCTCACAGGAGCAGATCCCCAGCTCTGGAATAATTTATGTGGATAGTAAAGAAGGTAGGACAGTTGTGGTTAATTCCCTGGGCAATTTCCAGGTTACAGCTGACATGCCCTGTGACACTACATCATTTCCACAACTCTTTTAGGATTTCTCAGCAAAAGCCAACACCAAACAAAGAGTCCCCATCTAAAAACGTCACCTTATTGCCACCGTGGAAAGGACAAGGCCACACACTATCAGGGTTCCATTTTAATTATCTGGGGGAAAAAAGGTGGACAGAAACACTTGAATGCGTTGATTCAAGAATTTGCAGTACAAGTTCCTTAACCAGCTGGCTTTCCCTCGGAAAACTTCCCTCAGTGCTGCCCCAGCCATCAGGATAAGCACAGGCACCTCCCTCTCAGTTCAGCTGCTTTGATATCCCTCTGATGAAAGGCTCCTGTGCTGCTGTTCCCCCAGCCCACATCTTCTCCTTCACACAGCTGAGGGGAAGCCAGTTAGTGCTCATTAGAGAAGAAAAAAAAAGCACAAAGCAAAGAAGTGAGGAGTGCCTTTTATTAAAGCTAATTTCTGAGGCCAACCCACACTTCCCACTGCTGGCAAAGAGACTCGGCATTATTGCCTCTGTTTGCTGCAGCCTGTTTGAATACAGAACAAAACCTCTCACTGGTACTGATACAGCCAGGAGATAACTATTCATAACATGCAATCTGGGAAAGTCTGTATTTTACATCTTTCTTATTCCCACTGCAAACAGAAAAATATTTCCTCTGTTAATTTTTTCTTTAGAAAGAATCCATTTTCCAGTCAAAAAACAATGGCATGAAAATGTCAATTAAATCTCAGCCAAGGCAAGAGAGAAGGAACTCCCTGACCAAATAAATGGCTCCTTAACACCTCGCTTGGACAAGTTTGGGTTCTTACCTGGCAGATAACACCATAATTAACACAAAGCTTAGTGCTCACAATAACTCTTAGGATGCTTTTAACCTTCCTATGGATCAACACTGGGCAAGGGAGATTTTACATCAGCTGCTTCCTCTTTACAAATGATTACGTAAAAGGCTGGTCTAGCTTTTGATGTGTGTTTAAACACAAAAGTTCACTAAACAAATATTTTTAACTCCTTTGATGTAAAGAATAATGGAAACAATCGTCTGCACCCATAGAAAGTGTTTCTCTAGGAAAGGGCTGTTTCACTATCAGCAAAGAGCACAGACCAAATGAACCAGATGATTCGTCAAAAATAAAAACCCACCAAAGCTGGCTGGTTTGAGAGAAAAAACTGAACCACAGATACTGTTTCTGTGCTTCAGTGGCAGTTTCAGAACAGAAGAGAGCCTTAAAACATTCCTTACTTTTAACAGAAAGGTGTGCTTGTGCTGCTCAGAAGCAAACTGGTAATAGAAAGCCACAGCCAAGATTTGGAAACAGCTCAGTTTCCAGCTTCTTTTTTCTCCCTAAACGTGATTTAGGAAATCAGGTTTGTGGTTCAAAAGCATGTCAGACCACACCTCTGCCAGTCCTCTGGGTGCAGCTGATAAAGAAAAAGCAAAGTCTGAGAAGAGACCCTTGGCTTAAAATAAAGAGATAACAGACATGACAATGACACAGCCTGAATGTCCCAGCACCACCCAAAGCACCCACCAGGTTTGCAAAAGGGAAGCTGTTACAAAAGTCCTGTTGCACAGACAACAGAAACAACAGTTTTGAGCAGCAACACCACCTAAAATCCAGAAATGACCATCGATTCAAAGCTTTTTCCCTGAATAACTGCATTTCTGAGAGGATCCAAGACACGACTTTTTCAAGGAATGAAGCTCTAAATACACAGCTCCAAAGAGCCTCGAACCCAGTGAGTCAGTGAGGGCAGCAGAAATGGTGCAACTTGGCACTTGTGGGAAAGTTTGATGTATCCAAGCTCCCTATAATCTATGGCATTCCTTTGTAAGGGTGCAGGCAGGTATCTTATCCAGTTAAGATTACAAATAAATTGTAATTATAAGGTTAAACCACATTTAATAACGTTATGAGATAATAAAAACTATATGTGGTTGCCCTCTGGTTTCTGACACTTGAGTTATCTATGCTAAAACTTTAATATAAACTATCCAACTATTTTAATTACTCTTATTTTTCTGATAAATACTTCATTAAACGTCCTTATACCTCTCTCAAGTCCATCAAAAAGGTGTTTTTTACTCCCTTCCTGGCCCAGTATCTCCAGTCCATAAAAAAGACAACAGTAAACATACCTCAAGCTCTTCTTCCTCCAAACCAGGTTTTTGGCAGCCTTGGTTTTGCTGTTACTAGGAAAGATCTCTTAGCAGAGCCTGAAGCTGGGTAAGGATTAGCAACCTGACTGCAAAGCACCGAGAAATGTCACACAAACGGCTGAAAGAAAAAAGAGAACACGTCCTCCAGACAGATGCAGAATCTTTCTCTCTTTACAGCAAGAACAGACATTATTTCTTGTAGAAGGAAGCTGTACAATCAACAGTGCCTTGCTGTCAACTGCTGAGCTGCCAGCTCTCATGAGGACCGGTGTTACACCACCAGCTCTAATGCTCATGGATGTGAATCATCTTCTTAACCCCAATGAGGAGATCCACAGTCCCAAGGAAATGGCAGTGAGATTTTTCTAAATTGCTTCAGATAAAATCACAGAATCGTAGAATATGCTGAGTGGGAAGGGATCCACAAGGATCATCAAAGACAGCCCTAAGAATCCCACTCTGTGCCTGAGAGCATTGTCCAAACGCTTCTTGAACTCAGACAGGGGCCCACGACCACTTCTCAGGGGAGCCTGTTCCAGTGCCCAACCACCCTCTGGGGGAAGAACCTTTTCTTAACACTCATCCTAAACCTCCCCTGATAGAGTTTCATGCCACTCCCTCAGGTCCTGTCCCTGGTCCCCACAGAGCAGAGATCAGTGCCTGTCCCTCCTCTTCCCTCACGAGGAAGTTGTAACTGCAGTGAGGTCTCCCCTCATCTCCTCTTCACCTCCTCATCTCCTCTTCACCAAGTGCCCTCAGCCACCCCTCACACAACTTCCCCCCAAGGCCCTTCACCGCCATCATGACCCTCCTTTGGACACTCTCTAATAGCTTAATATCTTTTTATACATTGTAGCACCCAAAACTGGCACAATATTCAAGGTGAGGCCACCCCACTGCAGAGCAGAGCAGGACAATCCCCTCCTTGCCCAGTGATGCTCTGCCTGATGCCCCCCAGGACACGGTTGCCCCTCCTGACTACCAGGGCACTGCTGACTCAGTGTCCGTGGTCACACTCATTTGAAGAGAATTATGAAAGAAAATTGCTCATAAATTTATTTTACACATCTATAAAAGACAGATATGAAATAAAGTTACGTTTCCTTAGCTCATTAGCATATAAATTTAAAAAGCAGCATGAAAAGGCACCGTGCAATGAAAAATGACCTCTGTCTTAAAGAAAGAACTAACTGGGGTATCACTAACACATGAAAACCACAATGTTGTCCTTGCATTAAACAGGGTCTGATTTTGAAAAATAAATGCATGTCTATATGTTTATGTCTGAACTTCACCCCAGAGCAATGTTTGCACACCCAGGTGTAACTATATAAATCTAAATACATAAACCCAACCTTCATTTTTCCAAAGACTTAATGCATGATCACTTGTACCCACAAAGTGGGCTAGAAATAAATGTTCATATCAAAACTGCACAAGCAGAAAACTGCAGTTATTTTGAAAACTGGCTGAAAAGGTGGGCCTCAAATTATCAGCTATTAATTTTGGTTAAAGATTTATTTGAAATAAGCTCAATTTGCCTTATTGATGTAAAGATCATGTGAATAAACCATGAACTTTCTAGCACAAAGGATAAATTTTTAGTAAAATAAACTATGTGTTCAGAAACAAGCAAAACACTGAATAACTGCAGCTGCTAACAGACCAGGAAAGGGGTTTTATTTTGCTGTCATCAGCTGATATGACTTTCTAATAACACTGAAACATACCTAGAACTAAAATTTTGCTAGTTAAATATTAAGATTTTTCTTTCTATAAATATGACACTGGTTCATGCAATATTAATATCTTATTTGTAAAGACTTCAAAGGATTATCCTCATTATGGTTCCAAATGACTAACATACATAGTTAACTAAAATTTCTTAAAATGTCTTCTCTGATTTTGATTTCATATTTTTATGATTTTCCATAATTTTGAATTGCTTCCTACTTTTTGCTTACACACAGATTTGGGTGACCACTTGTGCCACCAAGGTAATACTCCAGATTTTATGACTTCTTAAGCCTTCGAAGTTTTAACTTCCTGAGACCATTTTCAGCTTCTTTTTTTCTTTTTTGGGGAAGCTTCTCTGCAGACACAGCTTGCAGTTCTAGACTCGGTGATGGCACTGCAGGCAATCCCTCAGTGGCTGTGCTTGGCTCATGTTGGCTTGTCTGCACTCTACTGTTCCTCACAGCAAGAGGCTGAGAGGGTTCTTTTGTCCAAGTCAATGATTGCTTGTCAGCTGCAGTCTTTGCCCTGTCTTGCTTAGAAAACAAGCTGGAATTACGGGGGGTCTTCTCCCCCAGGAATGGACCCAAACAATCAGCATTGCACTTACTCATTTCTGGATGGACAGAAATTAAAGGAGTCCCTTCAGAGGACACTTTTTGCATTGCTCTAACTTCTCCTCTGAACCACAGCTCTTTAGTTGAGCCTGTGTTTTGGTCACTTTGTGACTTTGTTTTGGACCCAGCAGTGCTGACTCAGAGCTGCAAGGAGGGTTCTCACTTAAAAGACTCGACTCCAACCACTCCAGAGCGTGAGGTTTTTGCTGGCTGCTAACATCATCTGCCTGTCTCTGATTAACATAATTTTCCAGCTCTAAAACAGGAAGCTCCAAGCTGCTCCCAGCTGTATTTGTGCAGTCCTTCAGCAGGCCTGGACTGCGACGTTTCACATCAGAGTGAGGACTGAGAGCAGTTTGACAGTCGCTCTTTCTGTTCTCTGCCTGCGAGTCCACCGAGCCAAGATACACTTTCTTGGAGCCCTTGTTGATTTGAGGTTGGCTTGCACTACTCTTCCTTGGTTTTGTCCTTTTCACACTGCAATAAAAAGGAATTTTGTTTTTTAAATTAAAAAAAAAAAGAATCTTTGCTGCCTCAATTTGCCCTTCTTCCAAACCCTGGAACACCACTAGGGCCACCCTCTTTCTGAACATGGGAAAAATCCCTGTATATCATCTTGACAAGCAGCAATGTTTGTCTAGTGTGCATAATATCAAGTGTTATCCATCTGATTTTCCACTGCACTAGGGGAGAACCCTATTTATTAATGACTAAGCCATGAAGGAGTGAGTTCACATTCTATTCCAAGAGGCAGAACTGGATTCATTACAGATGTTAAAGGTCAACACAGCATAAGTATATTGAATTCCTTCCTGAACTGGCTTGATAAAATAGCATTTCATAAGTGCCTAAATGATTCCAAACCATTCCCATACATCCACATGCATAATGTATAGCTACAGGACAGAGGGGGCTGGCAGGGAGAGGCAGTGAGTGTGTCTCTGTGTGAGAGCTTCTAATCTCTCTTTTAGAATGTTCCTCTGGAATTTTTCCCAGGCCATTTCAAAGCGTTACTTCGGAGCTAACCACTACTCATCTAGTATCAAGGTCGCTCATCTGGGAAGGACTTAGTTAATGCAAGTAGATGATATTCTAAAAGGAATTATACAGGAAAATGGGATCACAAGGGACCTGATGGAGTGTCAGTACATAAGCACCCCTTGGCAGTGTGTTACCTACAAACCCAGATTTCACACAGGCCATAAGATCAACTTTAAGCCCAAGCACTGAGGCTGCATTTTGAGTCTAAAAATGTCACTTTAACTGTGACCAATGGTCCAGTTTCTCAAAATGAACAAAACAATACATCTGCAAAGTGTTTTTCACCAGATTCAAGCATCACATATTTATTTTGGCTCAGAGTTTCATTCAAGGAAAAAAACAGCCTGTTTTGATTCTGCCCAGCGCTATGTGAGATATCTATGTGGGTTGTAAGAGCTTTCTCCATGCTGTAAAAACTGCAACAATCATTTTATGTGCTTATCCCCACTAGAGTAGTAGTCTCTTGGTAATTTAAAACAATCTTTTGTAAAACAGTTTGTATTATTTGAAATTTTATTACATAGGCTAGATCCTACCAACCCAAATTCTACCCATTATAAATTCAAAAGCTTAGAAAGAATAGTGACATACATTCTTTTCAGGATGTCTTGCTTTATTTGTTCATTCAGACTGATCTTAAGCTCCTTGTTCTCAGTAGATTCAGTAAAATATTCAGATGCCCCACTGGAAAGTTCTTCTTTCTGCTCCAAAAGAAAACACAGGTTTCAAACATGACACATCAAGCTATGATTATTCAACAGAAAACTCCACTTCTAATACTAAGACTTACAGCTGTTCTTTATTATTTTGATCTGAGCAGTCTAAGAGAAACAATTATTTTTAATCTTTTAATATTTGGGAGTCTAGTCAGCTCCCTCCCCTTTCAGACTCCCGACCAACATATTTCATATGCTAAAATACACCACAAACAAACAGGACTGCAATGTAAAGGATGGAGCTTTCCAAACCAGCCTGAGGAAACTGCTGGCAAATATTTGACATCTTTGTGGCTCAAACTGTGACAAATGCCAGGAATCTCTCTTGCAGACAGGAGCATGTTTGTCAGTCAGATTTTTTTCTGAAGAGACTGACTGGCGCAGTGGTCTCTACGCTTATTCTCTGAGGAATTCCCAGAGCTTTCCATACTTAGGAAAAACACACAGAGTGGTATTTGCTCCCTGAAGAAGGCAAGGGTTAAAACTTTTAATTCTAACATTTAAACTCCCAGATTGTAGTGTTTGGCTACTACAGGACAACAGGGGAATTCTTTCTGGTCTCAGCTAACAGCAGCACCATGGTTTTACATAATACGAGGTTGGGGCGAGCGGGAGGGAAGGAAAATGCTCTTTTTCTTCAAGCTGTGAGCATTTCCTTTCACAATGAAACAATCTCCATCAGAGAAGGGCCATTTGCTGACTTCACTATTAACTACCACATACTCCAAAAAAGTATTATCTCCCAGGCTATGGAGGAGAGGGAAAAAAAAGTGGTAAAGGCAAGAAGAGAAGAGGCTTTGTGCATCTCCTTGGCTTTGACAGCACTTTTCTCCATCAGCCTGAATGAGGCAGCCTCTGACAGGGGCTCAGCAAACACAGGGAGGGCTTATTTAGCCCATTCCTTGCTCTGTGCCATGAAAAGAACACACTGGAACCAGGTGGTATGGAAGAACCTGTGGAGGCACAAAGCCAAAGCCTGTACACCACTCCAGCCTGGAAAACGCCTCAAGGAACCTGTCACTTAGGGGAGATTAAGCCCTGCTCATTTTTATTTCTGTTTTAAAGGAGATGGGGGAAACCTCCGTGCTCTTTCCAGAAGAAATAGCCAGTGAAAACAGCTTCCTCTTTTGTAAACAGGAGGGTAGTCAGGCAAAGAAATAAAGCCATTTCGGCACTTAAAACTACAGCTGTTCCGAGGCTCCTTTCAGAGGCAAATCACGAAAATGTGTGTGTGTACTGAGAGCTGCATCAAGTGCTGTCCACTAATGGTGCAAGGAGTGTGTTTACAGCAGGCAGAAAACGCATGGGACTTACCTGCAACGTGATTTCAACCCCAGAAATCAAGCTTAACTAGTTTAATCTGAGGCATTAATTGCTGCTTCTATTCTTGTTACAGGTAGATTCCCCTAATTTGACTAAATACGTTTTTGTACTTTGTAAACTATTAAAGACTGGAATATTATTAAGATACTCAAGAGTTTTGCTAATTTTAAGACAGACTGCAAAGCCTGAAGAAACTATTCTGATTTCCAGTAACAGTCACACAACTTGGACTGAAGGCTCTTGCACAATCCTCCTGCATCAAAGCAGCTGGAGAGCACTGACACTTGGCCAGGGAGCAGGAGCCCAGGTAGAAGCATTTGAGTTTCTGCTGTAAGGTGAATTCTGTTAAACCTTCTTCAGTCCTCAACACAGCCAACTGTGCCAGGATCCCCAGCCCACTAAGGGAATCCTTGCACATGTGGAAAGTGGCACTTGCTCCAAAGTTCTCCAGGGGAGAACTGGGGGCAATTCCTGTCCACGCTCACTCCTGCAGATCAGCAACAAACCTCAGTTCTAACTTGTACCTGATCTGAAGCAGAGTGGGAAGAGCAGACTCTGGAGACAGGCAAAGGTGACCAAGTTGTGTCACCTGTGAGTTAAGTCAGGCTGGAGTTTACACTCCAGAGGTAAAGGACTAACACATTCCCTTACCATGCTATCAGCAACCTTTTGTTTTGCTTTCAAATACCTTATCGCACAAAGCTGTGACAGAAAAGGGTTAAGGCATCAAAAAAAATTAAAAATCAGAATGATTTATATGTGAAACACTTCTGAACATGCCCTCTAAGTACAGTAGATTTTCCCCTCGGAACCACACCCTGTAAGTGCTGTATTTTGAGAGCTGAACAATTAACATAAGGCATATGAGTCAGTCTTTGAAAGACTCTGTGGGAACCAGAGAGCCTTTTGCTATTAGGAGTGATGTAAACTCCCTAAGGCTGGAATAAGTCCACAATAGAAGGCAGAGAGAGTCATAAATAACAACAATGGGCACTCCATATACTACTAAGACACTCAGCCATTATTGGTGATACTTCCTTTATTTTCTTTATTAGACTTAATAATTTTAGTTAATTAAAAAAAGAAAAAAATCTCTCTCTGTTTTGGGAATACTATTTATTTCCTATGGGAACTTCAGGACTTGTTAGAGAAATAAAAAAAAGCTAATCTGCTCTCATCCTGTCTAGTAATCCCAAATTCCTTTTAGGCAGTGAAATAATTAAAGAAAAATATTCCAGGCATAAAAGGGAGGACAGCAGAAGCAGACATCACATAAACAATGACACCACGACAGAGAAAAACGTCAAAGCACCGCCAGACTTGCGACTCGACTCTGAAAGAGCTGCAGGGAGTGGGATTGCTGCTAACAAATTAAAACCACATTTCTTGGCAAATTGTTAAAGACAGACATATTTACATTTGTATAGAGACTGGGTGGGCACAAAAGATTAAAATGCTTCTCTAGCCCTTGAACTGCCAAGTTCTATTAGAAATATGTGCTCTTAAAACCCCGGGGTAAGCTCACTCCTTTTTGTCGCTAAAACTCGGCAGAGAAGGGCCTGCAGAAGTGAGGCTGACCAAGTCTTACCAGCCATCCTGCTCATAACACTGGCCTCCCCAAACCTGATTTTTAAAATCCTTAGTACTTATCCAAAGAGAAGTCTGGGAGGAAAAACCCTGTACTGAGACCTAGAGAGAAACACGTCTGTTAGGCACACAACGTACTTCATTTAAGGTTTATCAAATTGAAAATTCTTTTTCTTTTTTTTTTGGCTATCTCACTCAACTTACTACTCACTCACACTGAAAAAGAAATTCTCAAAAATGTAAAAGGGGTCACTGCCATCTTCAGCTTTCTCCAGGGCAGCTGAACTCAGCATTAAATACCTGTTAAAGAACTCCTCATGGATGGGCACTTGTGAGGAACCCTCACAACTCACTACCCTGAAGAAGAGTGAAAGGTTTTGGCCTTTTCAGCCTGACAATAAACTCATACAAATACTGATTATTTTTTTTTCCAGTCTAAGGCTGGGTTGAAAGAAAACCTTCCAAACTGAACAATGCTGCCCCCCTTTCCTGCCTTCTCATTTGGTGTCATACTTTCTAGTTGTCTCTTACTCTCCTCAGTGGTACACACTTCTGTACCAATGAAGTAACACTAAGGGATAAATAAATTTAATGCCTGGTTAACAAAAAAAAAAACCCCAAAACAAACTACACTGTTTTTAAAATGCATTTATCAATGTGGTTCATCAAAAATACTCGGTAGAAAACATCAATGGGTTCAAGAAATCAAATTTTGTATCAGAGTGGCAAATGGGAGGGGACTAAAAATGTAATAATGTAGACAAAACTATGAACTCAAGTATTATCCCAGGCACACACAGTAAAACTAAAATCAGTGAAATTAATAAGACAGAAACCCTTATTTAGGGGAGCTTTATGTAAGCTGGCAATTGCATGATTTCTTTAATGCCGCTCTAAGCCATATCCAGAGCCACCCATCAAAGACAACCTTTAGGTTTCAGAGGTGTCCTAGCAGATGACTGGTAGATCAGAGAGGTCAGACAGGACTCCTGCCAATCTGATAAGCAAAAAAGGGCTCCTAAAGCAAGTGAGGAGGCTTGTGAGTGAAGGATGAATCAGATACTCTAATCTAACTGATAAAAAAGTGACAGAGACAGGACTTTGGGTCTCGTCTCCTGCCCTCTCCCATCCCACATGAAGGAAAAGCTTCCCACAGTTTCACAATGCAAATTTTTTGCATTTCCAATGTAGTGATGCATCTGTCCTGGCAGATGAACTGCAACCACATCATAAAACATTCACACAAGTTTTCCAAGTACAGAAATGGATCCTATTTTGAACCTGAAATCCAGTTCTTTGATCGGACTTGCGGAATATTGCTCTGCATTTTAAAGTTGACTGTCCTGCTCTAAATGTCAGTAAGTTCCAGTAAAAACCATGAAGGATCATTCCATGTTACACACTGGAGTACTTAGTTTTTCTTCTTTGAAATAGGTATTTTTAAGGAATGCTGGTGGTTTTCAAAAATTCTCCAATTTCAATCTGGAAAAGAATGTAACAAGCAGAGCAAACTGCATTTCTCTGGAGGAGCAGAACTATTCAACTTACCCATGGCCTAGCATAGAAAGCAAAATCAAACACCTGGATCCGTGCAGTCCTCATTATCTACTACCAGATTTCATTTTAATTAAGTTTTTGCTTGTCTGCACTGTTTAGTCCAAGAGTTGGCCCCATCTGTTACAAGCCCCTGTGATACACATTCCACTTTCTCAACCTCCAAGGTGTGAACCCAAGTTTCTCACTTGATACATAAGTCCTGGCAACTCCAAACATTCCAAAGGTCCCCAAAGCATCATCAGATTAGCTCAAAGCATGTGACTTCTATGAGGAAAATGCCTCCTTCCTTTTGAAGTATTTGGTTCAGATTTTAATTGTATATTACATACAGCAGGAATCCCACACTATCCTGAATGTAAGAAATTCAGAGTTCTCTAGATTTGCATTTGAGCAGTTGCAAGAGAATAGAAAATAGAAAAATTCCTGCTGTAAATGGCATAGAACAAACAAAATCTGATACTCCACAAAACCTAAAGCTGCAGGGGGGGCCTTTTTAAAAAATCAGACCTATCTGTATC